TGACCATATTCCCAACCAGTATTCAAATGTTTTTCTTGCCCATTGCAAGCAGACAAAACCCTCTAAGTTCTGAAGTTTAGTCACATTTTGATTGTGACACAAAAGCATGAATAAACACCCTGCATGTTGTACTTTGTTGAATAGGCTTTCCCTTCCATTTAGAGTAGATATTGTCTTTTTTCTGGCCACTTACACAAAGACAAACAAAATATTTTGTTTCCTATCCACCCTGGGAAGAGAATGATACAGCATACTAGCTGTGAAGCATTTTCTTAATTAAAATCATGCCCTTAGCTATAGTCTAATTTAAAAACACCAGCGGGAGGTTTATTAAAGTTTATTATAAAAATAATCACCTCTATTGCACACTCTTTTCCATTCAATGCAGTGTAAGACAATTAGTGCCCTACTTTGCTTCAGAACTATGTCAAGAGCTTTAGACTGCACAGGTCAATGAACTGTTACATTGGTCATTACAGGCCACCTTTTCAAAATAAGATTAGAGGAAGTGATTAGAATACCAGCAGTCTTGCTGTTAAACTAGTGGCATTCATTGGAATGAATACATATAAAAATAATAATATGTTAAACTGTTTTGGCATAAAAAGTGTGCAATGTATGAACAGTGTGCCTTTTTAATGAGCTCTCTGTGAATTGTCTAATTAACATACCTTGTTTATGTAATGTTGGATTAAATAGGAAGTCTTAGCCACAGGGATGCAGTACGTGAAAAGCCAAAGAGCTAATAACAAGGGGTGATCCTATTGTACTTTACAAGAATGAAAGGGGGAGAAGAGTCACATCACTCTAAACCAGTGCTTGCATTAGAATTGCAATCGCATTAGGTATAAAAAAAAAAAACAAAACAAAAACTTCTTGCATAGGCTCTGTTATTGATCAAATAAATTTATTTTATCAGATATAATTTTTGGATTCTTTAAAGTGGTATGGCTCATCTATTTGCAACTTCTTCTCCAGGCAGCTTCTTCTTCATGCATCAGTGTCCTATGTTGGGGGTACACATTCCCTAATGATACTGTGGGGGTCAGCTCCTCTTTAGATTTAATCTATGGATGCAAGTATGAGGTTCAAGTATCAGTACATCAACCTGCAATCAAAAACTTGCGTAAGTGACCTAAGGTGGCAGTGCTGTTATTTACTAGACTTAAAGTAAGTGAAGGCTGACAACCCAGGACAGAAGGGCTGTACTAATGAAGTATCTACATCTAAGAACTGGTAACCTATTGATATATAAAATTTTTGTTTTTTGGTTTAGATACACTTTATGTTTTCAGACAATAATGGATGCCAATTACTTTTTAAGTATGGACTTGATTTAATAAAATATGAGAAAAGGTGAATAGAAGTGGTGGAGCACATGTGACTGGGTCCCTTCACTACAATAGCTGCATCTCATCCCTGAAGCACCCCAAAATTCATCACTGTGTGTTGGAGCCGGATTTCAGCAAGGTATGCTTTTTATACTATGCAACAGCAATACACACACACAGTATACATTTTAATAGAACTTAATTAGGAAAAGTATCAAAAATATGTATATTTTTTGGAGTTCAATTTTAACACATATTTATTTATATATAGTATCAGTGATCACCTGACATTGAAGTATGTATATTAAAAATCCAAGGTAACTTGTTTTTTTATTTGTCCCAAGCATAACACAAAATAGACTGTAAAGAAAGAAAGTAAAGAAGGATGGTAATCTGAATTTGAAGGAATAGGAAGAGTTAAAGGACAACCTAACTAAAAGTGAAATTGCTCTTTAAAATCACTTGAGTTTAGAAGAACCATACTGTACCTGGATTAACATTTCCATTCCTATCATACCAAGCACAAAAATGAGTGAGAGTGGCCACAGTAGATGTACAGTTCTAGCAGTTCATGCATACCCAAAACCTATAATTTCACTTTAGGGTTGACTGATTGTTTAATTTATAACCACGTTGAAATAATTTAGCATTTTACATAATACAATATATGCTCAATTTCTAGGTACTTCAGGTGTTGCTATTAATATTCATATTTTAGAACAGAGTTAAGAAAAGAGCTGTTACATTTGAATTTTTTTAAAATGTTATCAAAGCTTGTCATTGCCCTGAGTTTATTTCCAAGGTGACACTTTGCACTAAAATTACTGTTAAAATATCTTCAGGGTATGAAGGTTGAACCTTACTCTGAGTGTTTATTTATGCTTCTAGATACAAGAATATCTTTATGGAATCAGAAATAGAAAGGTGTGTATTTATTAAAAAAAAATAAAATTGTTTAGATGAAAAGATACTTTGTATTTTAAAACAACTGCTGGAAGTACCATAAATATGTGATTTTTAAACTGCATAGGGAAAAGGTTTAATTACCTTTCACAGTTTGATCCTTAAGGTAAATGGACAACTTATGGGAGCAGTGTCAGCACAAACTCTGAAATAACAGGGTAAGTAAAGAAACAAGGTCATGACAAGATGTCAGTGGAAGGACAATTCTGCCTTTTGTTTTGTAATGCTCTGCCCCTACATCAGGACTACACTTGTTAGGAGACATATGTCATCACATCATATTTCTTTTGCTCCTAAACATATTCCAGATCTATTAGTAAAGTAGACACTATATTGTGATACTGGCTACTCACTGTACTGTCAACCAGGGATGAGTGAATATGCTCGAGTGCAGTTTGTGAACAGTTTCATGAATATTGATCGAAGTTTGGGAACCTTTATGTTGAAGTCTATGAGAGGTAAATTTTGTTATCTCAATTCTGGTCATGGTCTAGCTATTGTCAAACAAAATAAATTGTTAGTTTTCTGCCATGGAAAACATGTAACAAAGCCAAAAATGTTTTTAACCCCCCCGGCAGTATTCCCGAGCATACACTCGGGGTTAAGTTTCAGTACCAGAAGCGGTAACACCAAGCTACACTCGGGATTACACCGCAGCGTTGCTCTGGGATCCCTGGATCACTTACCTTGTCCCCCGGTCCCTGCGCTGTCCTCCTGCTGCATCCCCAGATGCCGGTATCTGTCTTCTGGGTTCCGTTCCCTAAGAGCGTCGGGATGTATGGGGAGCAGAACCGGCGGGAGAATAAAAAATGTCAAAATTTTACATACACATAATACACTAAAATCTGATAGTATTACATTACTGTATCAAACCATTTCACATACTTTTTGTCCCGAGTGCTTTGTCCTGTGCCCTGCCTGCATTTTTACCATTCTTTCTGCCTGGAAACTGAGAAACGTCCATGGCATCCAAAAAGCGTTCCTTTAGGTCAAAAGTGGTTTTAGACCGGCTAGAGAACAGTGATAGTAACTTAGAACCACTTGCAGAATTGAGTGATAATGATTCGTGGGGAAATTCATCATCAGACACTGAAAACGATTCTGCAACTGAGCTCAGTGATGTGCGAACTTGGCACTCTATTTTAAATTTCAGTGTTTTTGGTTTAATAACATTACTGAATGAAATGTATTATTATTGTATTATTTTTTATGATTATTCATTATATTATCATTTATGATTTCATTTTTCAAATTTTATCATACCCGGGATGTCTACTAGACTCTTGTTCAGACAGATTTCAGTGAATTATTCCTAAGAATTACAGACCTACAATAAAAAAAAAAACATATTTCCATTGAAAACAATGTACTGCTTTGAGCACAGAAATACTGAATTAAAGAATAAAATAATTAAACATATATAGGAGATGTAACACTTGGGATATTTGCTGGTTGTAATTTTTTTTAATTGATCAATAAAATACTGGATTTGTATATCCTTTTAGAGGTGTGGATCACCTACACCCTAGAATACCACTGAGAAAGAAGAAGAGTACAGACTGCCTCCTCTTACCTGCAATCACTAATTACCAAATGCCTCCTTTCCTAAAAAAACATGTGTCCTGTGCCCCATGCCAATGCAACTAATAAGTAGCCGCTGACAATATTCGCTTGCTGAAAATCTGACATGCTGGTTATATCTAAGTCATTGGCTCGACTTGGGTACAATCTGTCTGCCCATGGATCAAATCTCAGTTGGTCCCTGCTGAACCAGATGAGACTCAAACAATCTATGGCCCTGCTGGTCCATAATGAATTGGCTGGTCCCTTCTGTACCGGCCGAGATTTGAACCATCTGGCCATCTGGGCCAGCTTAAGGCCCACAGAGGTGGTGAGATACTTCAGACCTTATTAGAAAATGCAGCTGAAAAGAGACTGAATTAACAGTGTGAGTGGGGGTGGTACACATAAAACTTCAGAGGCACACTTTGAACTGGAAACAGAGTTGTCATGGCAATATCTATAAAAAAAATATTTTATTAATACATAATGTGGACATTGCAAGGGTCATAATGGTACAAAACTGATAAAAGTATGGTAATACTTACATTTGTATTGATCTGAACTAAACAAGGGTTCTAAATTTTTGGTTGTATTGCTGAAAGATGACAGCTACATTGATACAATCACAGCTAGGGAGGCAATAAAAAAATCAATATGAAATCAGCTGCTAGGAAGCTAACGTCACTGTCTCCAATACAAATCCTGGATTTATTTGTCTTTTGAGAGCTGCATGAGATATTGAACAAGGAAGTGTATCCAGCTTCTTAGAAAAGACTCCCTGGTCAAGGATGCTATACCCTGAAACATAATTTAAAGCAATGCTTCAGTGATCTAATGGCATAAAGATGATGCTAATAACAATGCTCCAATATGTCATACTGCAATAATTTACAGTACAGTTAATAATTTACAGTACAGTTTGCAGTGCAAAATCTATATGTGAAAAGCCAAGATGCACAATCAGACAAAATTCTTCTAGTCATCTCTATATTGACTAAATGTAAAACATTCAGCTCAAATAAAGTCTATTAGAGAAGCATTTAAAAAAATATTTAGTGATATAGATATATATATTTATATATATATATACACAGAACATATTGCCAATAGCATTGTGACACCCCTCAAAATCACTAGATTCAGGTGTTCCAATCACCTCCATGGCCACAGGTGTACAAAATCAAGCACCTAGGCATCCAGACTGCTTCTACAAACATTTGTGAAAGAATGGGTTGTTCTCAAGAGCTCAGTGAATTCAGTCATGATGCTGTGATAGGTTGCCACCAGTCCATCTGTGAAATTTCTTTGCAACTAAACATTCCACGTTCAACTGTTAGTGGTATTATAACAAAGTGGAAGCAACTGGAAACAACAGCAACTCAGCCATGAAGTGGTAGGCCATGTAAAATGACATAGTAGGGTCGGCGCATGCTGAAGAAGAGCACAGGGCACAAAAGTCACCAACTGTCTGCAGAGTCAGTAGCTAAAGACCTCCAAATTTCATGTGGGATTCAGATTAGCACAACAAAAGTGCATAGAGGAATAGGTTTCCATGACCGAGCAGCTGCATTCATGCCTTACATCACCTAGTGCAATGCAAAGCGTCTGACGCAGTGGTGTAAAGCACATTGCCACTGGACTCTAGAGCAGTGGAGATGTGTTCTCTGGAGTGACAATTCACGCTTCTTTGTCTGGCAATCCGATGGATGTGTCTGGGATTGGTGGTTGCCAGGAGAATGGTACTTGCCTCTGACTGCATTGTACCAAGTGCAAAGTTTGGTGGGGGGGGGGGATTATGGTGTGCAAGGTCCATAAAGACAAGGATGAGCGAGTTTGGGGTGGAAAAACTTGACTGGCCTGCATAGAGTCCTAACCTCAACCCGATAGAACACCTTTTGGGATGAATTAGAGTGGAGACTGTGAGCCAGGCCTTCTCATTCGACATCAGTGCCTGACCTCACAAATGCGCTTCTGGGAAATGGTAAAACATTCCCATAGACACACTCCTAAACCTTCTGGAAAGTCTTCCTAAAGGAGTTGAAGCTGTAATAGCTGCAAAGAGTGCAACAGCTCAATATTGAACCTAAGGACTAAGACTGGGATGCCATTAAAGTTCATGTGACTGTAAAGGCAGGTGCCCCAATAATTTTGGCAACATAGTGTATATACAAATATATATATATATATATACATATATATATATATATACACCTTTTTTTTTTTTGTTACAGTATGTATGCATTTTTCAAATAAACTGTAAATGTATGTGCTATTAGCCATGTGGTTTATTTATTGTGAATATTGCACAGTTTAGTGCAAAAATTAATTTCAGGTCTTCTACTAATGCTGTCCAGCAAGAACTGCAACTGTATTCCTATGAGACATGTCATGGCGTTTACCTAGAACCTCTCAAGGATCCAGCAAGAATCTACAAAAACTTACAAGGCGAATTAGAGCCAGTTCACACTATAAAAACGCAGTCCAGATGCATTTCTGCATGTGTGTTGTTGACTTGTACCGGTGCATTTTGATGTGTTTCTGACTTGTTCCAGTGCGTTTTTTATGCGCTCCAGTTAATTTTTTTCCTATCTTTTTCTTCAATTTAAATAGGGACATGTGTGTTCCAGTGCATTTGTGATGCTTTTTACCATATTCCGTACAGTTCTGTGCAGAAAAAATGCAGCATGTTCTACATTTTTATCTGCAACCAGAACACACTGCAAGCACTGATGTAAACTATGACACTGACAACCATATAATCTACTTTCCGTGCATTTTGGTTGAAGAAAAAAAGCAACTGAAACACATGTAGTGTGAACTGGCCCTTAGGCTTGAACTTCCTAAAGCCTGAGCTGTTAAACTTTATTATTATTTTTTTACAAGGATATTGGCTTGTGTACTGTATTTCTTTTTTGTCTTTGATTATAAGTTAAGACAGGTCTTAAATGAAGGTTTACCAGGGGAGTAAGAATTATGAGCAGGGGCGGACTGACAGCTCATGGGGCCCCCGGGCAATAGGGGATCATGGGGCCCCTGTGTCCTTGCTCAAACTCAAAAAAGCCTATGGAAAAGGTACCAAGGGCATCTCATGGGGCCCCCTACTGACCCCGGGCCCTCGGGCAGTGCCCGAGTTTCCAAATGGTCATTCCACCCCTGATTATGAGTGTGTGCCAGTGCACCAATCGTGCATGGAAAACTAAATTGTATATCCTCACAATATTTACTTTATTTTCGATTTTCAGGTAAAATTCTGACACCTTAGTTCACTTTATTGCAACAGAAGGCAAAACAGCAGCAGTATTTGGATGGCCAATGCAGAGAAAGATTGAAGGCAGAATGAGTCCCTAGCTACGGTAGCAGCTTTGCCCTAAATCTCTTTGATTGCCACTGATAATTTTTGCAATGAGCACAGGGAAGCCATCCCATTTGCACTGTCTGAATTGGCATGGCTCACCAAACAGACACCAACTGCCTATAAATTCATCCTCCCCTGTGAAGTGACAGGCAGGTTACTTCTGGTTTACTGCTGGAGCATGAATGTTGTAGTTGGTGCCAGGCTCCACTGGGCTCCAGGCTCCTGCCTAGGTTGCATTCTTCATGATCTGGCTCTGATTCAATGCACTGTAATTTGGAACAACACTGTGAGCACTTGACACGAGAGTACAATTTGCTATATAGGTTTAGGAATGTGCAGGTACTGTATATCCAAACCCTCTTGCAGTCCCACAATGAATCCATACCATGGAAATTTACTCCTGCCTAGTGTGTTTGTAGGGATGTCATCATCCTAAGTGGATGGTGAAGATTAGAATCCTGCAGAGTCTCAGAGCTATATTAAGACTTTTGTTTCTGAAATAACAAGGGTTTTCAATTCATATTTCCAAATCTGTGATACACAGAGAGCAATAAGGATGGTATAACATTTAATCTTTAATGCAAATGTCGACAATTGCTCAGCGGGCTACTTGAGCGCAGCTATTTTGCATAGAAAACAGTTAGAAAGGTTGAGCCTCTCTGACAGAGTCTCGCCCCACCAGGTTGCACAGTGACTGACACAACAGCTGGCAGTGGAGGGAAGTTCCTGGAGGGCACTTGTTCATTGTTTATAGATTTTTTTTCCTTGACAGTTTTTAGTGTACGTTACATTTACATAATGAACTGCTGCACCGAATGACATAAATTACAATTAGACTTGCCAAAGTGAAAAAAAAAGAAATACTTTTCAAGGTTACCTTTGTTTTATCTTTAAACATGGACTGTAACAATAAATTTGCCAGAGAACAAAGCAAAACACAAGAAAATAATTATTGCCTATTATATATGATTTTACATGTTTAATGTACTCTGAGGGATTTTCATTTGTAGACACATGAGAGGTACTAAAGTCAGAGGACACATTTAAATGCAAATTATGATAAAAGATAACATTTTTTTATTAGATTATTTTTTTTTGTACACCAAGAACTTATTTAACCACTAATCTATTGTGGCTTAGTTTTTTTTTAAAAATATGCATTATTTTGAACTCGCCATTTCCCATTTGAAAGTACAACAGTCTACACTTTTCTGGGAAGGTTTTTCACATCATTTTTAGTGTGGTAGTGTTTGCGAGGTCAGGCACTGACATTGACTTGTAGTAGGCATTCCAATTCAGCCCAATAGGGCTGAGGTCAGGACTGTGCAGGCCACTCAAGTTCCTTCACACCAAACTCATCAAACCATTTACCAGATGTTGTCATGCTGGAAAAGTATAAGGTTTTCCTCAAACTATGGCCACAAGGTGGGAAGTGCACAATTGTCTAAAATGTCTTTGTATGCTGTTGCATTAATAATACCCTTCATTGGAAACACCTGAATTGAATCATTTGGAAAGATGTACACATAACTTTGCCACAACGTGTATGTGACTGTAGCTGCATGGAAAGCATGCATTACAAAAAAAATCCTTTAACGTATTCAAGATCAATAAATGACTTTAAAACTATGATATAGGTTGATGTTAATAAAACAAGTACAACTAATTTTAATTGTTAAAAAAAATTAGATTGACCTAAACTGAAATTTTAATTTTGGATGGACATCAGCATGTTGGAGGGGGTTTCCTAGCAAACCTGAAAATCTCCACACGCATTGGTGAGGACTACCCCTCCTGCAGGTTCTGGATTTTCTTAGGAAAACTGAAAACTGTTACCCTGCATGGCCAAGACCAAACTTGTGTTGCAGGATAACCCTAATTAAAAAAAATATATTTTTGCTGTTGGGCTACAGTCTATCAGGCACTGTAAACGACAGAAGGACATGTGTGAAGCTTTTGTGTGAAGCTGTTTGAGAATTACTACATGGAAGGATCCCCATCAAATGGTGGATTTTGATTTTTTCATTGGAAATCCATGTTAAGGCAATGATCGAAAAATCTGTTGTTTGTGACTGGCAAAATAGTGATTGTGATAGGGTTCTTTCCTTCTGAGCCTTAATAAATCATATTTTTCCACATTTGTAGACATATAGAAAATAAATACAAAATAAATAAAAGCCCAGTGCAGAATGCATTAATTAATAACATCTTTAATTTTGTTCTTTCCAACTTGAGCACGTACTTGAGTTTGACTTGATATCTGTCTATTTCAATCTCCTATGCCACAGCACTCAAATTGGTAGGGTAGCGTTTAAGACTTTGAGCCAAACGTGTGTGTTCTAGATGCAAATGTATTGAGAAAGAACATACTGATAAGAGGACAGAACAGAAAAAAATCAAAGGTTTGATTTCATCGGTCTGCTGCTACTTTTTCACTGTCCAGTCAGCAAGCTCTTAGTGGAGAGAGGAGATCACTGTATTTCTTTATAAGTGGTACCACACATCTGATTTTACTTTGTTAGGGGGCTGTACAAATGTCAGGGCCTCCTGGACAGCAATACAAATTAATTGCCAAGTAAATCAGCTCCCTTATATACATTCTATCTATGCATTTAGCTCTTTGCCTAGCGTTCTGCTTTGTGTATGTACATGCAATAAGGAACTTGTATACAGTTTTTAGTAATATATTTAAGGTGTTTTATGATAATTATACAATAAGTACTGTTGATCCTACCAGAAAACTTATAGGGCAATAATGTCATGTGCTCTCTGCCTGTGCCAGCTGTTATCAATTAGCATTGTTCCCAGCTTTCTCTGTGGGCTACCTCCCCAGCATGTTGTGTTGTGGAGAAGTGGACAAAGGTAGGTTTTTTATAGTCTGGTTAAGGCTAACAACACCTCTTCATAGATTATAACAAAATTGGTCCTGCGCCTGCACCTTTGGGTATTCATTTATGCCAAGTGTTTTATCACGTGTGGTTTAATACATGTTTGTGATTTCACCCTGTTTTGGGGACACAAGTGGGTTTATGTATTGTGTTTTTTTATGCGTTTTGCACATTTATATTTTGTTTCATATGGTTTATCAAACATCACTGTATAAGCTTGTATAATAATATGAAGAATTGAGTTTGGGATATTTACACACAGGAGGATTTACTAGGGGTGTAATTGAAACCTCATTTTTGATTTAAGTATTTATATAAGTATAAGTGTGGGAGCGCAGCACCAATTTTGTTATAATTTAGATCCCGTTCTATCCAGGTGAGAGCCAGATGTCAGCGGCAACC